CGGTCTCGTCCACCCACGACTTGGTACGTAACGTTGACTTATTTGTCGTGTTGTTAATTTAAAGTTTTTCTTCATTACCCATTCAAGCCGTCTCCAGCCATTATTAGTCTCAAAGTGGGTTCCTCGTCATCGAATTTGAATACTCATTAACAGTTAACCACATAGGCGAGAAAGACGCATATATTAAACTTTTAGAGAATAGGTTATCAAGTTTTATGAGATAAGTCATAAAGATATATATAAAACGTGGACATTTTGTAAGCAATTCTTTAATTTTTCATACATATTAGGTCTACGTGTACAAGCGACAGGAGGAAATAATTACCTGCAAGTTTTAATTCTAGGCTTGATACTCTTACTTAATAATAATATTAATAGTATATATATATATATATATACGTGAACTAGGGTTAACTGTCAGTGTACTTCTGAAAGTCTAAACTCCAAATGGTTTAAGGTTTTTAACATTTTATTATCAATCGCTAACTATAAATGCGAATAAAAAGTATATCACGAAATATTTTAGTTGTTATGTAAGAGGGTGATTAACACGGTAGATAAAGTTAGTTTTAGAAATTTGAAATTTATTTAAAATGCTTTAACTTCAACATTTTTATAGGCTAGTGTAAAAACTTTTACACTGGGCATATGATTTTTTAAAACCTCACACTGTCCCGACCAGCCATGAAGTTTTTCGGGAGGGAGGGGGTTGACCAAATGACTTAATTAATGGTGTGTGTTCTGGGTGAAGTCTCTTTAATTGGGAAGAAGGATGTAGTAAAGCCCTGTATATATTCTTTTCCCAGTTATATCATCTCATTAGTGCATGTGTTATTTACATCCTAGGTTTGAGTTTTGAAACCGGGCCATTGTTTGACGTCATTGTTAGTCAATGCAATTATTAAACAGTAAATTTCAAACATTTCATTTAACTAAAAATTGCATAGTTCAATTAATTAAATGACCAGACAAAACTTGCAACGGCTTATTGAAAGCACGTACTTCCGTAATACTCTTATTTAAACTTTTATACATATATATATATATTCGTTTAACATTAGGCTTAGCTGGGATTTGTCAAAGAGATCTCAGGAAATGTAGCAAATGTTTTCATGTATTGAAATCATTGGACGACTTTAAGTGATGATCTTATCGCAAGTGTTAACGTTTATTGCACACTGTGGCATCCATTGGTGTTCGAATCTATTCACCTTCGATTTTTCCTGTCAGTTTGTGTATAATAATTTCAAAATATCATAAAGTGTTTAACCAGGATACCACTATTCCAAACACAAATTGTATGTTTGGTGTAGTGAAAAACATTTGGATTAATGTTAGTGATTGACTGTGTGAGTGTAACCTCTGGGATGGAAAGGCAAGTGGTAATTTAGGAACTGATCACAGAACTTTCCGTGATATTGCTCAGAACGTGTCAATAAGAACAGGAAGGTATTTAAAGAATTTTGCCGTATGTCGAAAAACACAAAAACAGATGCCACCATCCTACTCAGTGTGAGAAAACTATAAGAAACAAGGTCTTGCAGTCTCATGTTATATGTATGGAAAGCTATTTTCAATACAAAAAATATGATTTTATATTTCGTTTACATTGTAAGTATGAGAATGCTTTTCGCCGAACTATGTTTATTTTAGAGCAGAATGATAAATATAACTAAAACTTATATTTGAACACGTAAATTTTCAACAAAACTAGCGATAATCGTAGAAGAAATATTACAACTGAAAAAATATCGCATTATTTTATGAAGGATATTTTAAAACTGGTTACAACAGAGAAAAAATTAATAGCAAACAAACATTTCCATAGTTTGAAATAGGATAATTTCTCCTAATGCTGACCATGGTTTATTAATTATCATGTCTGGTTGTGGATCACAAGATCTCAGTGGCTTGTGTCCAGTTGCTGCAGAATCGTTCTTTGTGGTTGTGATGCGTTATAAGAGTGACGGCCGAATGCCACTGTTCGATTAGAGTAGCCCAAGAGTTGGTGGTGGATGCTTTTGACTGACTGCCTTCCCTCTAGTCTGTAATGTAAATATCTCTTGTGTAGTTTTGCACGAACATCGAGAAAACGATCACTTTTGTTGGTCTTGATCTAGGAAAGTGGAAGAAATCTATTCTAACTATGAACAAAACTGATTATTCAAGTTCAGTATTTTATTATCGAGAAAAATCTAGCATTAGGGAAGAAGTGAAGAAAGAAAGAGGGAGCAAGCAACTGATTTTCTAGTAATCATAACGTGTACGTGTTAGATATTTTCTGGCAAGAATTGCACTTCACAAAATTCATTACTTTGTTGTTCGTTTTTAATCTGGGTTTGTCTAAAGTGTCCCCTGTAAAGTGTTGTATTAATAGCTCGAAACATTGTTCTTTTTCTCTTACAGACTTCTGGCAAACTGATGAGCGAACGATTGAAGAATTAAAGTTGTCAATTCAGAAAAGCATATATACCGCCATCTGTTGGAATGAAAGATAACATTTTATAATGTGCTGTGAAAAAATTATTCCTGTTTACTCGTAATGACAGTATATTGTTTGTTACATGGATACCGATAGTTAATGTTAAAAATCAAATACTGCTTCCTTTTAACCTTTCATTAAAAATAAATATCAGTGAAGGAGTTATTTTATCATAAAATTTTGTTATTTTTTGATGTTGTTTCAGTGAGATATTTTTAAACAAAATCAATGCAGTTATAATGGTTCAATAAAATGTTCCTACTTTTACTGTTTGTGACAAATGTTTAGTCTATTTATATAATAACTATAAACACGAATACAAACCTTGCCTGGCAATCTGAGGGTTGTGGGTTCGAATCCCCGTCACCGAACATGCTCGCCCTTTCAGCTGTGGGAGCATTATAATGTAACGGTTAATCCCACTATTCCTTGGTAAAAGAGTAACCCTAGATTGGCGGTTGGTGATGTTGAAGCTGCCTTCTTTCTAGTTTATCATTTATAAATTAGGGACGGCTAGCGCAGATAGCTCTCGTGTAACTTTCCGCAAAATTCCAAACTTAACTGAACCAGAAGATTTAACATTTTAACGTAAAAGATTCTGGATTTTGGAACTGGCAAACCTAGTTCGAATCCATAAAATATTCCCCACACTTTAAGCTGCGGGTGCATTATAAGAGCGACAGTCAATCCACTGGAATTGAAAGATAGTAGGTAGTGTGTTGCTGCCAACCGTTTAAATTCCCTATGATGACTAGTTCAAAATTAGGGACGGTGGCAAACAGTCTTAGTAGCTTTGTCATAAAAGCAAACTACAAATACGTAACGTAAAGAACACGTGCCATACTAAACTGATTATTGTAAGTAACACGAATTACGAACTCTGGATATTGTTAACTAACCAAAAATCTTGGTTTACAAAATCAAACGGTATATATATAAATAAACATACAATATTACACATTGCTGGTGAGTATAATTAGCCAACAGATTCCCTTTATGTTTTTTTACATCAATCACTGAAACTGAGGTCTACTTATTGCCTCTTATTAGACAAATAATTGATTTCTGGTGGAAAATATGGGAAACCCGATGAGCAAATATTGGAATTAGTTGCATTACTTCTTATTTTTCTTCACTTTTTTGTGTCTGTGACTCGTGTGTTGTTAGGAGTCATGATCCTAACAACACACGAGTCACAGACCCATAAGTAATTCGTTGCATCAGTAGTTTAGCAATTGTGGGATATGAGCCCCATCGATAATTCTGGGGTTAAATAAGTAGACATGAGTGATAATTTATGAAAGACGGAGCTCCAATAAGAACAAACATTTCCAATATATAACGTAGCAGCCATGTGATTTTTTAGTCCTTATAACTCACCATATAGTAACCTAAATTAATTTCGGTGCGTCAATAATATTATGGCATTGTACCTAATTTATCATTCGATATTGTACAGCGGACCAATTATTTAATGATCATATTACAGATTTATTTCCTCCAGAGGTAAAATAAAAAATATAATCTTTGGCGTATCACATCACCATCATAAGACGCCTAACTGTATTTCTTTGGTTTGCCTACCCAAGTTGATCCTTGAATAGGCGAAACTGCAGTCCACAGCAGAGTGTACGGCCAATTAAAGAATACATTAGGTTTTTACGTCTCTTTTCAATTTTATCTAGTGGAAATAAAATAAATGCTTGTTAGGGAGGAATTATATGTACATTTCCATCAGATATACAAGTCCTTAGGCTACCGCCACATATACGCTCTGGAGCTTGTAGTTTGGAGGTTAAAAGCCATTCTAATGAGGTTGGAAGCCAGCTCTACAGTTGATGCACTGCCTGAACTTGAGTTTGGATAGTCCAGCCCTTAAGTAAAGTACAACTCCAGGACTGAAATGTAATTGTTGGTGAGTTGTGCTGATGTTTCAACCCAGTGAAAAACTGAACTAATTTGAAGGTTGAAAGAGGGGGTCCTTCAGAGAACTTGCTCACCTACAAGTGAACTAATTTCAAGGTTGAAAGAGGGGTCCCTCAGAGAACTTGCTCACCTACAAGTGAACTAATTTCAAGGTTGAAAGAGGGGTCCCTCAGAGAACTTGCTTACCTACAAGTGAACTAATTTCAAGGTTGAAAGAGGGGTCCTTCAGAGAACTTCCTCACCTACAAGTGAACTAATTTCAAGGCTGAAAGAGGGGGTCCCTCGGAGAACTTGCTCACCTACAAGTGAACTAATTTCAAGGCTGAAAGAGGGGGTCCCTCGGAGAACTTGCTCACCTACAAGTGAACTAATTTCAAGGTTGAAAGAGGGGGTCCCTCGGAGAACTTGTTCACCTACAAGGATGATCTGATCTAGTTGCATGGGGATAGTATTCCTTGCAATGGCATCTGCAGATCGCAAAGATATTTTCATTTATTTGTTTATAGAGGGGTTCCCCAGTGAGACAATGAAACATCTCAGCCTAATAAAGGCAGCTTATGTGGTGGCAACGTCCAAAGTCGTGGCTCTAAATAAGTTTCAAGAGCCCACCTTGGACAGACTATCCTACTTAAGTGTATGTCTCGCATCAAGCTCTAACTTTACCGAGAACAAACCAGCAGCTAACACATTCCCACACTGCAATACAACTACTTGGTTCTCAGTGGAAGGACAAAACGTCCTTGATCTACATGTGATTTTTGTGCAAACAACAGCAACATGTTGGGGTTGCCAAGGCTAAAAACAACATACTGAGTGTTTCGACAAGAATAAAAGTATCATGGATGTTCCAATAAGAAAAAATAACAGTAATATGCTGGGTGTTTGAACAGGAATAACAGCAACGTGATGATGGTTTTAACAAGAATGACAGTATCATGGTGGGACTTTCATCAGGTTTACAACATCAACTCCTGGAAAAACAATTGCCTCCAATTACTTCGGGATCTCGAACACTAGTTTCGAAATTTTTGATGTTAAGGGATTAAGGTGGCAATAAAAGATGTAGATGAGAGAAATACCTAAACTGCAGTTAAGTATGATAGAGACTAAACAAATATCACTGCCAACTTGTAAGGGTATAACAAAGTATGACCTGCATCATCTCTTAGGTTACTGCCTAGAATGGATGTATTCGGGAATTTTCAACCAACACCATGCTGAGACACCATAAACTTTAAAGGTGCAATTGAGAATGCTTGTACAAATAATTAGGCGAGTGTTAGGTCCCTACTCTTAGATAGCAAAATGACCAGTTACTTTTCATTCATCAGCTCTGTACGATACCATGCATCTCTGTGACTACCATAATAGTAACCTCCCTGTTGAGAGAGGCTTAACACTGCCCCAAAAATCACCACCTTCACCAGTTCAGGCCTGCCGTCTCGTCTGCTGGCAAAATAGTTTCTGTGGGTGTACTTCCATCAAAGATACCTTCAGTCTCTCCAAGCTGATCATGGATGGCATCGACCAGAGCAGAGGTTGAATTACTCTGGCTAGCGTGCACCTGAGAACCCTATAAATAATATGTCATTCAGTCTCGCACCCTCCAGACCATGCATCACCATAGTTATTCTCAGTTGTCTGCACTTCTTGTGCACCGAGGTTAAACCTCAGAGAGATAATATGATCAACCATTCTCATGAATTATATTCCAATAGTCTTCTTCATGGGTTTGTGGCTGCATTGAGAAGAACGTTATGGACCTTCACAGCTATATACAGGGGGACTTCTAAAAGATCTGACAGCTCTTTCTGAAAGCCATCACTCCTCATTTCCTAACACTTCCTCCTGAATAATTTACGAGATTAGAAAAGCACAAGCAAATACACTTGTCAAGATAACAACGGACACTCCACAATTACAAATCCTGTAGTCACTGCATCATATTTTCTCCTTCCTAGCTACTCTCTGTTTTTCTCAAGTTCACTTATTTCCCTGCAAGTAGTCCGGTAAGAGTTGCAGAATCACTGGAGGTTCACCAGAAAATGTGTTACAAAGCAAAATCTAAATGATCATAATCTCACATGAGTCTGAAGCGAAGAAAGAGATTGGATACAATAGTATTTATTCAAACACAAATACAATCAAAGCTTTTAAAGGGAAGTGTATTTCAGCATCTTTACTGGAAGTGTTAAAAGCAAGTCGGCAAATTTATATATATCGCTCATCAAAGTCATCATCTATTACCTTTTTTTTTCTGACTGAGAAGACATGATATTATATAGGAAAAAAAACAATACCTTTCTTCTTGGGGTGCAGGCATTGCCCACATGATTGACAACCAGTCTTACTACAAAACAAGAGATGTTGCTTCCATGGGGCATCACCTGACTTGCCAGTGGAAAAGATCACTGTTACTTTCTGTACAGTAAGCACTATGTTACAGCAGTATTTCGTATGAAAAAGTACATGTAGTACACTAATTGAATGACCTAGAATGGAGCATGACTCAAAAAAAAAAAACTGGAACTAAACAAGTGATGTTGTTTTCTTCCCGGGCCATGCTCCATTCCCAAGAAGAGTTTCACCTTAGAATACCAGGTTAGAACTAAGAGTGCACTACCACTACATCCTGAGGTCAAATTATTTGTGTGTGTGGGGTGGGGGG